TTCTACTTAGACTGTAGATATTGACGTCAGTATCAACACTCACGTATGTGGGTACGGTTCCCCACGTACTCTCTGTATTAAATATACTCTACTTATACTATAGAGATTGACATCAGTATCAATACTCACATATGTGGATACGGGTTCTGCATGTACTCTCTGTATTCAATATATTCTACTTAAACTATAGATATTGATGTCAGTATCAATACTCACGTACGTAGATATAGATTCCGTAGATACTCTATATATTAAGTATATTCTATTTATACTATAGATATTGACGTATGTATCAATACTCACGTATGTAGATATAGAGTCCATAGATGCTCTATATGTTAAATATATTCTATTTATACTATAGATATTGACGTCAGTATCAATACGTATGTGGATATAGATTCCGTAGATGCTCTATATATTAAATACATTCTATTTATGTTATAGGTATTGACGTCGATATCAATACTCACATATAGATTCTGTAGATATTCGCAATATTAAATATAGTCTATGCTATTCAATATCAATACTCACATACATATAGATTCCATAATACTCTCTATGTTAAATATATTCTATTTATACTATATAGTTTTTCTCTGTGGATTATCTATCATCTATCTGTCATCTATTTAGATTGAGCTGTGTGCTGTAGACTCACTTGTGCACGAAAATCCCCTTTGTATTTTATTATTATTTCAATTTTTTAAATTTTTTATTTATTTTAGAGAGAGAGAGAGAGACAGAGCACAAGTGGGGGAAGGGGCAGAGAGAGAGGGAGACACAATCTGAAGCAGGCTCTAGGCTCTAGGCTGTCAGCACAGAGCCCGAGGCGGGGTTCGAACCCATGAACCTTATCATGACCTAAGCTGAAGGCGGACGCTTAACTGACTGAGCCACCCAGGTGCCCCAGAAAATCCCCTTTTTATATAGCTCTGGAATTGTGGCTGGGCACATGGCTGGTCAGCTAGATCGGAGCCACCCTTTCCAGCCTCCCTGGCAGCGAGGTATGGCCAGATAACTAACAACCCACCCACAGAACGTGACCAGAGTGATGTGGCCACTTCCTGTTCCGGGACTTAGGATGCTGGTATGGGTTCCTAGACCCTCTTTTTCTCTGTCAGACAGGACAACCCCGCTGGCCCTGTAACCCAGCTTAAAACCCACAGATCGGAACCCCAGGGCGGGATGGCTGGAGTGGGTAGGTGGAAACAATCTGGGTTTCAAGATGCGCACCACCCACTCACCGCCATCTCTCCTTGCGGGAGGAATCAACAGCTATTTTTGCTTAACGCTGTTCTTTCTTGGGGCCTCTTTGTTACAGAGGCCAACCTTCACTAACAGAAGCCCATGTGTGAACGGTGCACTGCTCTAGCTCTGTCACCTGTGTCACACAGGGATGGTGAGCAGGCAGCGTGACCTCATTTTATGCCCGGGACAGGGTCCCAAGCAGTGAGAGGACTTGCTGGAGCTCACGAGTGCGGGAGACGGTCTCTCAGGCACCGTGCGCTATTTTGTAGCTGCCTTGCCTGCCGCCCCTCATTCATTCATCCAACAAAAACGCACGGAGGTCCCACCTATGCCAGGCTCCTAGGCTCTGCGGGTGACATAATAGAGAAGCAGATGTCATTTCTGGGAACTCAGAGGCTGGCGGGGCGGAGAGGGCTCCCGGGTCCCCGGTCCAGCCCTCTGCTGTGTGACTGCAACTATTCACACAGGGTCTGTCTCCCTCGTAGATTCCAGCTACGTGGGGGCTGTTGCAGTCACTGCTGCATCGTTCATGCTCTCTACCTCTGGCTCCTAACGGAAAGTTCCACTAGCCCCTGTGTTACTCCAACTGTGGTCCTCGAACCAAAAGCACCAGCCTTCTCCTGAGAGTTTGGAAGAAACCCAGAATCTTGCCCCCCCCCCATCCCCAAGGGATCAGAATCTACATTCCAAGAAGACCCCCGAGTGATTCGTGTGCACACTCAAGTTTGAGAAGCTCTGGTGGGGCACAGTGGTTCTCAGCACTAGAGACGTAGACTCACCTGGGGGCTTTGAAAAACCCTGATGTCTGGGCCAGGACCCCAGAACATCTTTTTTATATTTTTTACTATTATTTTAATGTTTATTATTTTTGAGAGACAGAGAGGCAGAGTGTGAGCAGGGGAGGGGCAGAGAGAGAGAGGGAGACACAGAATCGGAAGCAGGCTCCAGGCTCTGAACCGTCAGCACAGAGCCCGACGCGGGGCTCGAACCCACGAACTGTGTGATCCTGACCTGAGCCCAAGTCGGACGCTTAACCGACTGAGCCACTCAGGCACGCCCTTAGAAATTTTAATTTAGCTGATCTTGGTTGGAGCCTGAGCAGTGGAGTTTTCCAGAAGGCCCATAGCTGATTCTAATGCAGAGCCAGAGCTGAGAACCCAACTTCATGTATATATCAATGATGGATGAAGGAAGGAATGAGGGACCAAAGCCAGTTGCTGGAGTGAAAAGCATGATGTTGACAACTGTAGTTTTCTTTGGATTAAAAAGCTCTGAAGTGGAAAAGGAAATTATTTCCAGTGCCTGGGCCCACAGGAATACTGAATGGAAATGAAAGGCTTTTTAGGTCTGGCCGCTGGAGGAAGAAAAACGGGTGATCTGTCCCCAGCTCAACTTGCCTGTCAGCTTTCTCCCTGGACCTCTGTCTGATCTGCCAAAGGGGCGGAGGCAGGGAGGGCGCTGCTGAGGGCATGTCCTGAGTGTCTGTGGCTTCACGGCCGCTGTGAATCCATTGTGCCCCCTGCACTTTTTG